CACCACCACCACCCGCAGCAGTTCCCGACACCATCGGCGTACTCGCACGTGAGTGGCCACCACAATTTGTCGACAAATCACCAGCATTCCGGAAATTCCGAGCATTGGCACGGGCACTACGCGGCGCACCAGCACGACCAGTACGCCACCACCGGCCGGCCGATGTTCTGGTCGTCGTCGACGGGCGTCGTGACGCGGGCGACGACGCCTATTAGCCGCACGATGTCGGGCGAGGACAGCGAGATCACCAGCGGCGCCACGACCACGTCGGTCGCGGCCACCAGCGCCGCCGTAGCCGCGGCTGCCACCGCGCTCATCCGGGCCCACGCCACCCAGCAGCTGCGTAAGCGGCGACGCTCGCAGTCGGCCCCGCCGCCGCGCGACCAGGCCATCATCGTGGCCCGCAACGGGCGACAGGTCCGGCGACAGTGCGACGACGTTGACGACAACAGCGACTACGAGAGCCGAGCGCCGGCGATGGCGCTGACAACAACGTCGAGCGCCGGGACGTCGTCGCCGTACTCGTCGCCGATGGCGGTGTCGTCCCCACAGAGCTGCGTGGAGCATTGCTACGGGCAGTCGGCCACGACCTCGTCGCCACCGACATCGCCCACGGGCGCCTCGCGAACGAGCACCACCAAGCGCTCGGACATCTACGGCCTTCTCAACTGATCAATGGCTGATGAAGAGCCCACCATCACAACCACCACCCCCCCCCCCAACTCCCCAACTGTGTATCTACGCGCTCAACCCAATAGTCAAGAAGAGTCTTGTAAATATTTATCTAAAAGCTTTTGTAAAATATTTGCCTTCTCTGATCAATGGTGGTGTGGCCTGTCCGTACTTGTCGTGTAACTGTCACAAGAGCCGGGGACCACACTGGGACGCCGGGGCAAAGGAACCGGCCTAGCCCGCAACCCAACGCGAAAGAGGTACGCCATAGAGCAGCTAAAGCGCGCGGGTCCACCATCTTCTTGTTCTTCGATGCCGAGCTCGGCTTAGCACTAACAAGCCTTGACGCGGTTCCGCGGGAATAGGGCGCTTGCCTTGTGAGAGCGTGTGCCTGAGTACTTCGTGACTACATGCTGACTCAGCTCGCGGGCAGAACCCCTTAAAAAAGCGCACCGGCGCCAATTGGACCGGGAGGAAAACGCTGGAAGAGTTCCTGTCATTCCATTCCCAGTTCCTTTCTGGAGCTAGACGAGCCCGAACGGCGCCACCACGCCGGTCGCAGGAACAATGTTCTCACCTGCTGCCTGTTACCCGTTCTAAGCAAAGCTGTCCCCTGTGTGACCCACAATCACAACCCAAGAGAGAATTATGTGTGTGGCCCAGCGATTCAGGCTGTGGGCTGTGTCCATCCAAACACCACAATAAGAAAAGGACCTGATGCAAGATGCCGCCTTCTCTTCCGCGAACGCCGGCGACCATTGCTAGGGCACACTCCCGTTTCCCAGTAGTTCTCCCCTACTGGCACCACTTTATCATGAAGTCGCCTTCGCATTGGCCGTTCTGTTTTTCGTGACACGCTGTCGATTGGCCTTTTAATGCTGTACTCTGCATCTTCTGGCATTCCTGTTGGCCGATTTCCGGCTGATCACGACTAATTGTAGAGTAACCAAACACACGGACTTTCCGATGCCGACCAGTGTCTACAGAAACCTAGCACCGACCAGTAAGCGCAGGCCGATAAAAAGTCTTCCTGAGCGCTGGTTGTCGTTCCGTTGCGTCAGACCCGTCTCCCGCAGCCTTACT